GGGGGGGTGGGGGGGTGGGGGGGGTGGGAGGGTGGTCACCACCACATGAGAACTGTATTAAAGGGTCAAATCATCAGAAAAGTCGAGAACCATAGGTTTAAGCTACCAGGTTTTTAAGTCAGGAGAGTAAGGAAGAAGCTGGTCACATGTATTACCTAGCCATGGCCCTTCTCCCTATCTGTCTGCTCACCATAGAGTCTGTCTAGCTCCCAGTCTCTCAAAAGCAGTAATAAGGGAAGGGGTGGAATTTTACTGAAGAGTAGGGCAGCGGGGCCTGGTGGCACACACCTTTAATCCCAGTACTTGGGAGGTAGAGATAGGAAGATCTTTGTGAGTTCAAAGTCAGCCTGGTCTACACAGTGAGTTCCAGGCCAGCCCGGGCTACACAGTGAGATTCTGTTTAAAAAAAAAAAAAAAAAAAGAAGACAAACAAACCAATCTGTAGCTGTGGAAGCAGAGAAATCCAAGATCAGGGGCATGGGCAGGCGTAGCTGAAGTTTTCTCTGGTCCTGCCCAGCCCCACAGATCCCGCAGCCGCTTATAAAACAATCACCCAGAAGCTTATATTAATTAAAACTGCTCAGCCATTAGCTCAGGCTTCCTACTGACAAGCTCTTACACTTAAACGCAGCCCATTTCTGTTAATCTATATGTTGCCACGTGTTCTGTGGCTTTACCTGTGTGCCGTGACATGCTGCTCCTTGGATGGTGGGCTGGTGTCTCTCAACTAAGCCTTTCTCTTCCCAGAATTCTCCCTGTCTGCTTATCCCACCTATACATCCTGCCTGGCTACTGGCCAATCAGCGTTTTATTAAGCCAGTGTACAAAAGCATTATCCCACAGCAGCAGGTTGTCTGTGAGTGGCTGCTTCCTTATACAAGGTTCCTTGCACATCTTCAGCCATCGAAGGGGCAAGGCAACTTCCTGAGACCTCTTCTGCAAAGGCACCAATCCAGAGGGCTCCACCCTTATGACCTAATCACTTCCCAAAGCCTTAACCACAGAAATCATCTCCTTCACAGATTTCAAAATATGAATTGGGGAACAGATATCCAGACTAGAGTAGATATACATATCTGCAGTGTTCATCAGAGTCCTTTGATTATGAGACACATGCACAAAGGGGTAGGAAAAGAAAAAACAACCTTTCTTTATGGGTTTTTTTGTCTTTCCTTTTTTAAGCTATTTTTATTTCATTTGCTTTTGTGTTTTTCCTGCATGTATGTAAGTGTGAAGCTGTTGGATTGCCTGAAACTGGAGTTGCAAGCGGTTATAAGTTGCCATGTGGGTGCTGGGAATTGAACCTGGGTCCTCTGGAAGAGCAACCAGTGCTCTAAATTGCTGAACCATCTCTCCAGCCCCTGTTCTTTCTTTCTTAAAGACATCTTTTTACCACTGACTTACCTTCGCTTATAATAAAGTTTGCATGCTTTATTTTTAACCCAAGGATTCCGAGCCACTGGTTAAGTAACTTGAACAAAACACCCTTAGGACTCTAACAGTGATCTAGAATGCCAAGCAGTCTTACTTGTTTTTTGTGTTTGCTAGTGCATTTTAATTTTAATAACATCACAATATGAATGTCATATCCTAAACTGATATAATAAAGCTACAGTGACTTGAGTTTCAATCTTTGCAATAGGCAAGCTTAAACCCATTTTTACATGATCTGACAGGATATTCAGCCCTGCCCCAGGGTTTCTAATTCTGTAGGATTATAGTGCAGCCTGACAGTTTTGCTTTTAGCATTTTTCCGGAAATTGCTGATGTAGCAGGTCCAGAGGCAACACTTTAAGAAGCATGGTTTAAAGGATTAAACATATTAATTTTCCAAATTAAAAACATTACTAAAAGCATTCAGAACAGATAATATCTTTGCTGTATGGAAGAAAAACAAGCTTAGGATATTTATAAAAGTTAGAAGTAGTAGGCAGAGCTAAATTTAATATTTCCTATTCTCGATGGCCATGATGTTAAGTTGAAGCCCCAAACCTCTTTGTATTACAGATAACTAAAATTCAAACTACTTAAAAGGTAAGATGCTTTATGCTTTGACTGGAAATAATGTTTTTTTTTTCTCTTCCTCATACATAGATGTTTTAGAAATCTGCATTAAAAGGAGAAGCTTTCTCCTCACCTGTAACAGATAAAATGCTATACTTTGGGATAAAGCTGGTCTGAGGTTGGGAGAGAGGCTACTTCCTGTGTGCGGACCGTGAGGATCTACTGCCTTAATCTTAGGAAGCAGACTTCCTAAAGACACCATCAATGGGAGCAACATGGACCAGGATGGTGAGACAACCCAGGAGGGCTTAACAACATAGGATAGACATTGAGATGCTTTAAAGAGGAAAAGCACTGTAAGCATGGAGATGTCATCATATATTCTCCAATTCAATAAAGGTTGCTGTTGTGGATATTATTTCATGATGTGTTACATTTGTTTATGCTGTGGAACATTTGTTTTAATGATGCAAAGATGTGTGCATTTTTTTATGTTGCATTTGTTTAACTCTGTGAAGCTGTGTTACTGTGCCTGTCCAAAACAGCTGATTGGTCTAATAAAGAGCTGAACAGCCAATAGCAAGGCAGGAGACAGGATAGGCAGGGCTGGCAGGAAGAGAAAATAAATAGAAGAAGAAATCTGAGAGGAAGAGAAGAGCAAGAGAAAGAGGAGAGGAGGACGCTAGGGGCCAGCCACCCAGGCAGCCAGTCACAGGGTAAGAGTGAAAGTAAGATATACAGAAGTAAGAAAAGAAAGAAGCTCAGAGGCAAAAGGTAGACGGGTAATTTAAGAAAAGCTGGCAAGAAACAAGCCAATCTAAGGCCGGGCATTTATAATTAAGAATAAGCCTCCATGTGTGACTTATTTGGGAGCTGGCCCTCCAAAGAGTTAAAAAAACAACAGGTCGACGTGGTCAGTGGACTATGATAAAAACAGAACCTGATTAAAAAGTAGCTGTGCCCTGAGACTGTGCTGCTGAACTGAGGGCCTATTGCATTCTGGGTAAGTGTTCTATCACTAAGCTTTATCACTAGCCCCACCCCCACCCCAGCCACTCTTTTGAGACCAACTCTGAACATAGAGCTCAGGCTGGCCTGGAACTCTATATAAAGCCTAGGTTGCTGAATCCAAGGTCTTCATGGATCAGCCTTCCAAGTTCTGCAATTGCAGACATGTGCCATCATACCCGATTTCTTTCTTTTTGAAATCAGAATATTTTTATCATATAAAATAATGGATTTGGGTGTGTTATTTTCATGTATGCATATTATATACCTTGATCACATTTACTCTTCTTTCCCTCCTATCCTCATATATTCCCTTTCTCTACTTACATGTACTTCTTTTCTAAATTCCTCTTATGAGGGAAAACATGATATTTCTCTAAGGGACTGGTTTATTCTGTTTAACAAGATAATATCTAATTCCATCCATTTTCTTACAAATGACATACTTTTTTCTTTCTTGTGGCAGAATGATAATTGTGTATGCATTACATTTTCTTTGCCCATTTATCACTGATGGGCATTTGGATGAGTCCATAGCTGGCTACTGTGAATAGTGCTATAGTAAACACAGTGTAATGTTATCTCTATTCCATGATGCCTTGGTTCCTCTGGTTGGATATTAGGAGTATACACTAGTTCTCAGTTTTCTGAGGAACCACCATATTGATTTTCATAGATACTATACTAATTTAAATTCTCACCAACAGCATATTGAATGTCCCATCTCATTGTTTCCTCATTGATAACCATTCTGATTTTCTGGCTGGGGAGAGATTTGGTTTTGATTTGCATTTCACTGATGGCTAAGATGTTGCATCCATCTTCAAACAGTCAAGAACCATTTTAGGATAAACCAGTTTCTAAGAAATACTGGGCAAGAAGTCAGAGATCTGGATCTTGACTGATATGAATGAGCTGCTGTTATGAAATATTATGAAATCCTAGAATCATAAGATCACATATCAGTATATTAATATATAACATATTCAGAAACATTCAATGCTAAGGTCAATGGTTTTTTTTTTTTTTCATTCTGATAGCTCCCCAAATAGCTTGCATATACAAGTAGTATCACAGAAATTCAACAATTCAAGTTCTTAGCAGAAAAAAAAAACAACCATGGGCTTTTTATTCTCTCACTAAAATACTGGCTTTAGATTACTGGCCAGATTTCTAGGTGAAAGATTCTAGGAGGCTCCCCACCCCTAAAGGAAAAAGAGTTATCAATTTTATCATTGGATCAAAGTATTGAACTAGAAGCCTACAATTCATTCATTATAATTAACCCACATGGTGTCCAGTAATAGAATAAGTTGCTTATATTTACTATGTAAATAACTTACAGAATTAATTTCTATATAAGCAAACAATTTTCTAACTCATAGAATCTCTGAGATTCTGTAAGCCACATTTTAAAGCTTTGCACTAAACTCTCAATATGTGTTGATAAACTAATTTTTTCTGTTGCTATTGTGAAATTTAACCGAATCAGAAGATGTGACCATGGCAACCACAGAGCAATGGTGGCTGCAGCTAAAATTCCACAGCGTTCTTGCTCTGCTTCTGTGGGAGAGAGACCTGTCTTCATTTTGCCAAGTATCTTGTTCCAAATCTCCTTACCTTCCTCGGAAGCCTCTTCTGAGTCCGTCCTGAGGTGTACCATTGCATCTTACCCTCATGTGCCTCATTTGAATTGGGTTGTTGGAACTCTGTGGACCTAGTTAGATTTTAGAGGGGGACAGGTACTCTAATAAGCAGTGACATTCAAGATTCCCTGTGGTGATATTTTGTGTACCCTAATAAACTTGCCTGAGGATCAGACAGAGCCAGCCACTAGATTAGACATAGAGGTCAGGCAGTGGTGGCACACACCCTTAATCCTATCACTTGGGAGGCAGAGATCCATCTGGATCTCTGTGAGTTCAAGGCCACACTGGATACAGAGCCAAGCAGTCGTGGAACACACCTTTAATCCCAGGACTGGAAAGCACACATGCCTTTAATCCCAGGAAGTGATGTCTGGGCAGAGAAAAGTGTATAAGGCATGAGGAGGCAGGAACTCACTCTCTTTAAGCTGAGGATTTGGTATAGGTAAGAACTAGTGGCTGGCTGCTCTGCTTCTCTGATCTTTCAGCTTCCACCCCAATATCTGGTACTGGTTTTATTTATTTTATTTATTTGTTTTTTTATTAAAAGACCATCTAAGATTTGAACAAAAATTCTCTTCAAAGAACATAAAGGAGGAATGTTGGTCTTAGCACCAGTGGGGAGTTTCATTCAGAGCCACATTCTTGCCAATTTGCATTGAGAACTATTGGTTAAGAATGATACATTTGCAGAGTTTTTGCTTTTGTCCCCCCTCCCCCTTAAAGAACAGCAGTTAAAAAAAAAAACCTTGATCTGTTCCCAAGTCCAGAGAAAAATGTCAAGTCAAACTTTAATTACTAAGTCAGAGACAGAAAAGAGGTGTTCTTGTCTCACTAAATCAGTGGTTCTCAACCTGTAGGTCATGACCCCTTCAGGGAGTTGAATGACCCTTTCACAGGAGTCACCGAAGACCATTGAAAAACACAGATATTTACATTACAATTCATAACAGTAGCAAAATTACAGCTATGAAGTAGTAACAAAATAATTTTATGGTTGGGGGTCCTGACAACATGAGGAACTGTATTAAAGCGTCACATTAGGAAGGTTGAGAACCACTGCTCTAGATGGACAAAGGTGGCTTCTAGAAGTCTGCATCTGTGTCTCAATGATGTATATAAAACTATGGTACTAAACTGTACAAAAGCCATTTTCTATGTTTTTGATGCTTTTTAACTTCTGGGGTTTCCCTGACTTGGGAGGAACTTCTCTCCCAGTATTACCAAATTCCTGGGTTTGCAGAGCATGCTTTTCGTGTGCACACTAACCAGTCTATCACACCAGCCCCCACTGAACCCTGACATTTCAGGCTAAGTGTCCCTAGCCTTAATAGCCCCAGGGCCAAGTACCAGGCAATTTAGAACACTCTCTGTATACTGCAGAGCCTGTTAGGGAAATATTCACATTAGCCCATCCTAAATCAGTTCTGTTTTTCTTTCCTTGCCTCGTTGTTTCCTCAGAAATCTCATGGTTCTTGCCATGGTTGCCTCCTGTTTCTCCTGTCCTGAATGACCTTCACGTTTCCCCATGTGACCCTTGGTGGAATGCGTCTAGTGCAAGAATAAAAAATTCTTTCTAACATGGCAGTTGCTTTATATCAGTTTGACTTATCCTGCCCAATCTGAACAAATTCTGAGTAGATTTTAAAAATAGAAACTCAACTCCTAGATCTGCTAGGCAATCCAGGCACAGGAAGTAAAGAGTTCATGCAAACATCCCAGGTAGGGATGTGCTTTTCATGCAGGGGAAAGGTAACATATAAGTTTACCTGGAGCCTGTTGTTTGAGGTAGCATAGAGAAATGAATTTCTTTTTAAGATTTGTTTATCCACATATTTTATGTTTATGAGTGCTCTGTCTTCAAGCACACCAGAAGGAATCTGATTCCATTACAGATGGTTGTGAGCCACCATGTGGGTACTGGGAATTGAACTCGGGACCTCTGGAAGAGCAGTCAGGTGCTCTTAAACACTGAGCCATCTCTCCAGGCCCGTGAAAGGAATTCCTGTTTGAGTGGAGGAAGGAAAAGGAGTAAGAGCTACATCATGAGTCAGTCCCACAGGACCTTGAAGGTAATGACTGGGAGTCTGGATTACTCTAAAGTGAATGAAATGAAATAAAGCATTTGAAGCAATGAGTGAGGTTATCTAACTTCTTTCTAAAGGATTACTCCACGGCCCAAATGGAGAGAGAATTACAATGAAGGAAAGTAAGATTTTCTTCACTGTGACAAAGCAACCGAGGGAATCCACTTAAACAAGGGAAAGGTTGTACTTTGAAGTTTCAGATGTGCCGGTGCATGGCCTATTTTGGTGGCCACATTGCTTTGGTCCCATGATGGCGGAGTAAGTATATCATTTCAGAAGCACAAGGCAGAAGAAACTACTCATCTCGTTGAAACAAGGAAGCAAAGAGAGAAAAGAGGGGGCGTGAGTCTTAATAGCCTGTAAACAAGTATTCCCAGTTGACCTTCTGTCTGATAGCACTTCATAAGGCCTCCACCATCTCCAAATAGCACCATGGGAAGGTTTCCAGACTTTCAATACATGGGCCCTGGAGGATGTTCAAGATCCAAACTGTACCACAAGGGTGGAAAAAAACAAAAACAAAAAACAGCTGGAGCTACTGTAGGAGCTGAGGCCAGAGATGAATGCACAGGAGCAAGAAAGCAGCCATACACATGGAGCCCACCACCTGCCAAATGAACAGTCTAAGAAATCAAATGCCAGCTTAGGCTGAGCTCACCAGAGATGACCACTCACAC